TACACATATTAAAATAAAGGGACTAACTGCTGTTAGAATGGTGGTTAGGTGCAGCTCTGAAGCTCATCAGGAAGGCTAGACACCTGAATTCAGGGCTTAGAAAAGATGATTTAGAGTTGCTAGTCAGACTTACATGACAAATTTTTAAATGGTTATTCGTTTATTTGTATTTGTTTGTAAGGTGGTGCAAGACAGAGAGAGAGATCTTTCATTCACTGGTTCATGCCCCAAAGGGCCACAATGGCAGGAGTTGACCAAGCCCATGCTAGGAGCCAGCAAATCCATCTTGATCTCCCATGTAGGTAGCAGGAGCCCAAGTACTCGGACCATCATCGACTGCCATCCCAGGCACATTATTTGGGAGCTGGGTCAGAAGCAGAGGAGCCAAGACTTGAACTAGCACTCCAATATAGGATACTGGTGTTGCAAGTAGCAGCTTAAACGCATTGTACCATAACATCAGCCCCAATAAAATAAATCTTTAAAAAAACACACACACACACACAGAGATTTGTGAAGAAAAAAATATGCTTCTATTTTAAAAATAACAGAGAACTTGAAATTAGCTCAATTTCAATTTATGGAAAAAATAAAACAGAAGCATCAAGAATGCACTCATAGGCCACATGACATGTATGCCAATAATAAGGGGTAAAAAGATATCACTTAAAAATGAGAAAATTCAGGGGCCAATGGGTTAAGTTGTCAACTGTGACACTAGCATCCCATATGCGCACCCGTTTGAGTCCTAAGTTTGTCATTTCCAATTCAGCTCCCTGCTCATGTGATAGGAAAGCAATGGAAGACAGCCCAAGTACTTGGGCCCCGCACCCATGTAAGAGATCTGGATGAAGCTCCTGGTTCCTGGTTTCAGCCAGGCCCAGCCCTGGCCATTGTAGCCATTTGGGGAGTGAACCAGGGGAGTGAAGATCTCTCTCTGTGTGTCTCTCCTCCTCTCCTTGTAACTCTTCCATTCAAATAAATACATAAATCTTCTAAAACAAATGAGAAAATTCAGAAAACTCCTGAAATTCTCAGTAAAATAAACAGTGTCCAAACATCTAGGAAATAACTTATACGTCATCTACCCTTCTGGACAAGGAAAACACTCATCTAAGAAACCTACACAAAGAGGAAACAGCATTCAGTAATTAAAAAAAGGCAAATTCTCTATATGAAATATGACATATGATACTTCTAAATGAAATATAACAAGTTTCTACAAACTTGTTTCAGAACTGTTTCAGAAAATCTTCACTAAAAGCACCTCCAGTATATTTATATAAAGTTTCAATTAATTAGTTCATCACATATTCATTAAACACAAGCAATGTATAGGTGCTTCACGTAACACATAGTAATCCCTGTCTCATAAAAAAACACACATTTTATAAACAAGGAACCAAAAACCAGTTCTAACCATTAATCATTTCTAGATAATACTAGAGATGATTTCTTTCTTTCCTTTTTGGATTACCTGTAACTTCTAAACAACTATATCAGTAACAGCTAACTTGGAGGCCATTTCCCTACAGTCAATGATACCAGGCACTGACTCCATTTTAGAGTTTAGTCTGGAGCACTACCCAGGCAAAGGAATGATAAAAATCTTATGAACATCAAGTTGCTGGCTTCTGCCAAACATGGCATTCCCAAAGGATGCTCTGTCTAGAATCTGTGGGGGAATCATACACAAATCTTCTATTTACTCAGACCTTCCAAAGAGGCTGGAAATATTTGTGTCTTGAGGGGAGGGGGAAAGGGCTGAGAGTAAATTTGCTGACTCCTAATGGTTCAGTTCTGAGATTCCAAGATTCTATAAAAGAGCAGTAAATTAGGGTTTGGCTAGTATTTGCTGAGTACTGAAGCCAGCATAAACATTTACTTGAGGCTTTTAAATCTGTAAGGGTACCCAGTGGTTAGGTACAGTAATTTTGAATCTCAAAAAATCAAACATGGCCACTGGAAATGTTTCTAAAAAAAGGTGGGGTGGAGGAGATAGGCACATTTCCTTTGTTTTCCCCAAGTAAACAATACAGATTTTAGAAATGTAAAATGTGATTCTAGGTGATATTGATCCCTACAAACTGTTTTATTGCCTTATAAAAATACTAGCAATTCATACTTTCAAAAAAGTTCACACGCAGCTCTTCAACCGACTACTTCAGTTCAAAAAAGAAAGAAAAGGGCCCATTCTTTCCCATGGAAACAGAAACAAAGTCCAAGCTTCAAAAATATTTAGCATTCTGCTATATAAAATATAAACTCCACATTCCTAAATAAAATGGCAAAGATACAAACTTTGTAGGTCTCTAACCACAGCAATATGAGAGTAGTGATTCAAAGAAGAACCTGATGTTAAACCTAACTATACAATATTACTAATTACAGAGAAATTTTACCAATAAATATTTTGGTAGAGGACTGCTTTGTCATCTTTGCAAGTATTTTTAGTTGAAAGTAAGTGGTTTGGTAGTATATGTGGACATGGCTTTGATTTTTAAATGTCTATTTTTATATTCTGGTCACTGGTTAGGTTTTCTAAACTCAATTCTTTAGAACTGGTAATCTGGAAAGGGTAAACCACAAACCCGTTACGTTATGTTAAGAAGCAAAGACCTAACAAGCCCACCACTCAGATCAGCAGCAAGCTAACCCGGAAACCTCCAGGGCTCACAGACCTAACCATGCTCCAGATAGTCCCTAACTCCTGAAGAACATCTGCATATAAGCGAATTACCAAAACCATCTCTTGAAATGTAACAGAAGACATTGAGATGTACTTGTTTTATTTGTATAGTTGTTTTCGTGGTGGGCCTCCCTTCAGATTCCTACCCTCCCCCCATCCAAATCTCCAAATTTACTTCCTTCTCCTTGGACTTGAACTTAAATCTCCCATTTTAAATATATATATACACCCAGATACTACAAAACATTCCATAGCAGTGAACGTTTTTTATACAAATTAGCCAAGATTTTACTGCAATTCTAGCTTTTTAAATTATTTTTTAAAAACATCTTTTTAAATAATCCCTATCTAATTTAGATCAAGAGTTTGAGGGCTGGTAGCTCAATTCATTCACATATTTTCTTTCGAAGGTTTTTGCTGAGTGCTCTGTTTCAACTAGAGGTAAAAGATTAAAGAACTGTTATGACTAGCTCTTTCTCAAAGAGGGATGTTTTAAAAGGAAAGAAACCGTCTCTTCTTGTTACTGTAAATGAGCAGCCTCTTGTTCTCAGCAGTCCGTCTGCACACAAGACCACTACTGACTTCAGTGGGAATTCTGCCCAAAAAGTGAGGAAGACAGGATAGGATTAAATTAGTCCTAAATCCACAGCATTGTTCCAAGCCACTACCACTTCTCCAGGAACCTCGAAGAGTAGATATCCGAGGTCCTCAAACCTGAATTTCAGAAATGATCACTTGAGCTCTGACAGGTGACATAGCAGAGCTCTTTAAAAGTTGTGTCAAACTCGCAGCCTGATGGATGTACTCAGCTGGCCTTTATCACAATTCAAGATTGCATTGCAATGCAGCCCCGTTAGAGGCTGCAACAGTAATCCACTAATTTCCCGCAGCACAGAGGGAAACTGAATGAGATTAAGCACCCCTCGATCACCAGTAAAACCTGCCCAAAGCCTGATCCTTCCAAATCCCAATCCCAACCGCCAAGAAACTGACTCAGTTTCCCCCAATTATGAGGAATCTCACAGGACACCAAACTATAACAGTAATTCTCGATACTGTATTATAAGTAGGCAGGGAATCCAGAAATAATGGATTCTGATGAAAGAGCAAAGGGGGTTATAAGGAGGAGACTGAAAAAAATAAACGAATGAAGAAAAACCTGTGAAAGCCTTTTTTTATTAGTTCAAGTGAGAGTAATAAGAGAGAAGACGCTCAACACACACGTGCCATTCCAGATGCAAGAAGTTCCAAACACTGAGCAAGGACGTGCCTTGGACAAGAGAAAATAAATCCACGGCTGCGCGAGGTCCCCCATCCCTGCCACCCAACCGCGGCTCTTAAAAGCCGGGGCAGCCACTGTGGTGTGTTCCGGGAAATTCACTGAAAGGCGTCCTGGGTCAGGAGACCCCTCCCAGAAATCAGAGCCGAGGCTGGGGCTGTTGAAACCTCACCGAGAAAACTTGACCTCCCGGCAGGTCAGCGGGCTGGGCAAGTTTCGTGACTGATGACCGCGCCACAGTCGCGCAGCGTCCCCGCCAGGGTCCGGGGTCCCCGGGCGCCGAAGCCGAACCTGCCCGCTGCCTCAGATTCGCCGGCCCTAAAAGTGCTGCCCACCCCAGCCAGGCCCCCGGCGCGGAAGCTGAGGAGCCAGCCAGGCGTGGTGGGACCGCCCGGGTTTCGGGACCCGGCACCAAACGTGGTTCCCGGGCGTCGGCGGGGGGCGCGGGCGCGAGCGGACGCCGGGCCCGATCCGCGCCGCGCGTGGGGCCGGCGTGCCGTCCTCGCCCGGCTCCGCGCAGTCCTCCCGCGCGCGGCCACAGCCACCGTCCTGAAGGGCGACGCCGCGGCCGGGTCCCCACAGCCCGCGCCGCCGACGGAGCCGGATTCCCTTCGCAGCTGCTCCGCGGGGCCCGCACGCGTGACCCTGAGCCCACGGCACAGCCGCGGGGACGGCGCGGTCCTTCCCACGGGCTGGTCTCCCAGGGCTCCGCAGGGAAGCGAGCGGGGGGTCGCAGCGGGTCGGGGAAGCGGGGTTCCGGCCTGGAGCAACAGGACCCGGACCCCGGGGCGGGAATCCGTTTGGGCAGTGAAGACAGGAGAAGAGAGGTAGCCGCAGAAAACTCCTACTAAAGCCGGCCTCCCTCCCTCCTCCCGGTGGGACCGTCCCGCCGCCGCTTCCTGCCGGGGATCAGCTTCCCAGCTGCAGCCAGAGGCGAAATCCCCGCCGCCCTGCAGCTCCGCGGAGACCCGCGGCGCGGCCAGGCCCCCGCGCCCCGGGACCTCCATTCCGCAGCCCCGCACGCCTCCTTACCGCGACGCCGCACCTCACGAGCCGTCCCGCTCCGCTCCCAGCCGCCGGCCAGCCCCGCCTGCCTCCTCCCTCCGCTAGGTTTCAAATTGAAATTCCCTGGCTGAGGCCGTCAGCGGACTCCGCGCGCAGGCCCCGCCCCCTCGCGGCGGAAGCCCCTCCCGCGCCCCCGCCGGACGCGCCCCCGGCGCGGAAACCCCCGTGGGGCCGGCCACGCCCCCGCTCCAGGCCACGCCCCCGCGCCTGCAGGGAGCCCTGCCCGCAGGATTCTCCCCACGCGGCCGCCGGGTACCAGCGGCCCGCAGAAATGCGCCGCATAATAACTACTACTAGTGTCTGCTTGCGGGGCCTCCTGCCCGAAGGATCCCGGCCTGCGGTGCTCTCTCAACTTCTCAGTTAAGTCTCTGACCTTCATTGCGTAGCCGTTACTGGGGACAGCGTGGAAGGAAAACGGGGTCCCTCTCAGTGCCGGGTGGGAGCAATGCTCTCCCCGAAAGAGCATTGGAAAGCAGCCATCTGTTCTTCCCGCGGGAGGAACGGAAGGGATTGGGCAAAGCCCATGGCGTTGGGGCCCTTAGGCTCACCCTCTGTGGGCAGAAGCCTGGGGACCTGGATGATGGAGCACAATGAGGCCAAAGAAGCTAATAGGAGAAACCTAGGTTAAGGCTAAACTGCGCGCGCGCACACACACACACACACACACACACACACGATAGCTTCCTGTTCTTCTGTAGGACCGCTGTCTCGAATTCTACTTATGGCACCCTTTTTGATGCTTTACCAGGCGTCACACCGGTGTGCAGCAGGGTGCCTGGCACACTGCCCGCAGCACCCTAGGACTTCTTGTGCTTTGCCTCCTCCCGTGTGTACTGAGGTCTTCAGTGATTCCACCTCCCCAAGACTCCCTTTCTTTCCTGAACATGACATTTCGTGAAATTAACAAACGCAGCCTGGGGAAGAATACCTTCCGTGCGTATCGTGCTTTTCAGTTCACAGAGCACACTGACATTCTATCACTTACTGCTCACCATAGCCCAGTGCAAAGGGCAGGGCGGGTGTCTGTCCATTACATCAAAGAGAAAAGAGTTGAGAAGACCGATTATTGGCTAACTTCTGGTAAATATTTAAAAATAATAGCACTACCATTCATTGTGTGCTTTGCATACTGGGCATAATTTTGCATTCCTGCATGTGTTAATGTATTTGATAACAATTCTGCAGGTTAAGTACACAGGTTAAATTTAATAAGGTGCATGAATACAGAGCAGAAACCTGATGAAACAGCAGTTCTGGGGAGAAACACCTGGGAATTTCATGAAGCAATGGTATCCTAAACACTTAGAAAGATTCACAATGAAACAAACCAAATTCCTGATTTATACTGACTGAGAAATGGCATTTGTCATTTTATATTTTCGTTTGTATTAAAAAGTCATAAAGGGGTGGGTGGGCATTTGGCACAGCACTTAAGACCTGCTTGGCCGGCGCCGCGGCTCACTAGGCTAATCCTCCACCTTGCGGCGCTGGCCCACCGGGTTCTAGTCTCAGTCGCCCCTCTTCCAGGCCAGCTCTCTGCTGTGGCCAGGGAGTGCAGTGGAGGATGGCCCAAGTCCTTGGGCCCTGCACCCCATGGGAGACCAGGAGAAGTACCTGGCTCCTGCCATCAGATCAGCGCGGTGCGCCGGCCGCAGCGCACCGGCCGCAGCGGCCATTGGAGGGTGAACCAATGGCAAAGAAAGACCTTTCTCTCTGTCTCTCTCTCTCACTGTCCACTCTGCCTGTCAAAAAAAAAAACAAAAAAACAAAAAAAAAAAACACCTGCTTGGGACTCCCACATCCCTAGCACAGTGTCTAGATTTGATTCCCCCCTCTGCTTCCAATTCCAGCTTCCTGCTAATGCACACACACCCTGGACAGCAGCAGCGATGGTTCCCGGCCACACACATGGAAGACCTGGATTATGTCCCCAGGCTCCTAGCTTCAGCTTTACCAAGCCCTAGCTGTTGCGGGTGTTTGAAGAGTGGTCAACAAACATTCTCTCCCTCCCTCTCTCTCTCTCTCTGTGTGTGTGTGTGTGTGTGTGTGTCTGCCTTTCAAACTCAAAAAGGAAAAAAAAGGTAATTTATCAAACGCCTAAATGTTATTGTTTGGAAGATTCATTAGCCTCTGTGTTTTGGGCACAGCTTTACATAACCCCAAATTTTCAATGGAATGTAACAGATTCAGGAAAAGCTGCCAGGAACTGAAGGTTGAAAACTCAAATTCCAGAAGCTATAAGGAAGTGAAGACAGCAGATGGAACATGATACTATAGAGATGTTAGCAAACAATAGATAATAGTCCAGGCAAGCGGGAAAGTCTAACACGGAAAGAGGGATTTGGACAGAAAGGACAAAGTCCTGAGCAGGTGCTTCCCAAAGAGGCCAGCAGGCTGAACATTGGCAGGACTACCAGGATGCCACTCATGGGCAGAACATTAATTCCCAAGAGATAAGAACAAGATTAGATCTTCCCACTAGATACACTGTAGCAACAGGCAAGGGAATGACTCAGAGAACAGGATAGGAATCCAGATGCTAGACCTGAGAGTCACCACATCCAAATTTAGCTTCACAGGCTCAATCTTGAACATCATCTACAAGCATAGTCAGCGTGGCAGTTTGGACTAGAAATTGACCCGGGACCTCCTAAGCACTCTTGCTTACCAACTTACCTCTCTAAGCATGGCATTTGAGAAAGCTCCCAATATGGGCATCTCGTTCATTTATCTCTGTGCCTGCTGGGTGCCAAGCCCAAACAAGTGGAAGTATGAGAGTGGCTCTGGGTTGAGAATCCGCCCCTACTTTATGTGGTCCACAGGTAAGAAGATCTGACAATTTGCCCTCCTACTCTGATTAAGGCATTCTCAGCCTTCACTATGAACGCATGCAGTTCCAGCTCCACTGCCACAACCGACAGATGTTACACACCAGAATGAATCACTCTGTCACCTGGCTAGTCTTTGACAGAGTTTCAGTTCTGCTACAAAAACCCCAAAAGCTCGCAACTTAATCACCTTTTAAAAAATTTGAGAAACCAAAAGAGAGAAATAATCAGGCAGAAAGATCACTCCCATCCACTGGCTCACTCTCCAAATGCTTGCAACAGCCAGGACTGCCAGCTGCAGCTGGGAGCGAGGAGCTCAATCCAGGCCTCCCGTTTGGGTGACAGGAGCCCACCTGAGCCATCATCTGCTGCCTCCCAGAGCCTGCATTAGCAGAGCCAGAATCAGGGGGCCAGAGCTGCGGATTGAACCCAGATATTCTGGTGTGGGACCTAGGCACGTTAACTGATATCTTAACCAATGAAGTAAATGTCCACTCTAAAATAACCGATTTACTTCTCATGATTCTTTGAGGCTGGAATTCAAACAAAACTCAACAGATGGTTCCTCTGTACTCCATGCGGGCTAGGCTGGGAGGTTCAGTTGTGGATTAAGGATCTGAGACAGCTTCAGCCACAATGTCTAGTAGTTAGTGCTACTTGTCAGCTGGGCACTCACTTTTTCCTCAAAACAGGACTCTCATTCTCCAGGCTGTGTGTAAATATCTTTTTCTCCTCCTCCTCCTCCTCCTCCTCCTCCTTCTCTTCCTTCTCTTCCTCTTCTTCCTCCTCTTCCTCCTCCTCCTCCTCCTCCTCATCCTCCTCCTTCTTTTTCTTCTTCTTCTCTCTCTCCCTCTCTCTCTCGCGAGCACATGGATCTATCTGTTATAGTAACCAGACTTCTTTACATAGCACCTGCCTTCCAAGAGGAAAAAAATAAAAACTGCAAGGCCTGAGCCCAGAAGTCACATGCAACACTTTTGTTCCATTTTGTTGCTCAGACAAAATCAGAGAGTCAGCCCCAATTCAAAGAGTAAAAAAAGGATTTCACTTTTTTTCTTAATATTTATTTATTTGTAAGGTGGGGGTGAGGTGTGTGGGGGAGAGAGAGAGAGAGAGAGATCGATCTTCTATGGTTTACACCCCAAATGGCTGCAGCAACCAGGCCTGAACTAGGCTGAAGCCAAGAGCCAGGAACTCCACATGGGTCTCCAACCTGTGGGGCAGGTACACAAGTACTTGAGCCATCATCATCTGCTACCTTCCAGGATGTATTAACAGGGAGCTATATTGGAAGTGAGGTAGCCAGGACATGAACTGGTACTCTGATACGTGATGTGGGTGTCCTGCATGGCACCTTAACAGGTTGCATCACAATCCTTGTCCCAACTTCACTTCTTGATGGGAGTGGAATGTGTGGATAGTGATGGGAATAATGGCTGGCAGCCATCCTTTATAAGTCCACCACTGAAAGTCCTGTTTCCTAGTCTACTGTAGCAATCTGCCCTCAAGGGGCTGGCGCTGTGGCACAGTGGGTTAACACCCTGGCCTGAAGCTCCGGCATCCCATATGGGCGCCGGTTTGAGACTCAGCTGCTCCACTTCCCATCCAGCTCTCTGCTATGGCCTGGGAAAGTAGAAGAAAAAAGCCCAAGTCCTTGGGCCCTGCACCAGCATGGGAGACTCAGAAGAAGCTCCTGGCTCCTGGCTCCTGGCTTCAGATTGGCACAGCTTAGGCCGTTGTGGCCAATTGGGCAGTGAACCATTGGATGGAAGTCCTCTCTCTCTGCCTTTCCTCTCTCTGTGTAACTCTGACTTTCAAATAAATAAACAGATCTTAAAAAAAAATCTGTCCTCAAGTGATACTTCTCCTTTCCACTACAGTGATGTTTTCCAAGATATGTATCAAAAGTCCTCTCTTCCATTTAGGATATAACAGTAATGGCAATCTCTTTTCACAAAGGCACTCCTAACGATGACTAATACAGACATAAGCATCTCAAGCCTGAGATATTCCTTCAATTGTAGTTGAACTTTTGCCCCCACCCACACACACACCCCAGCTTCATCTGACTCGATGACAGAGGAAGAAGCATGGATGTGCTAATTCACCTAAGCTAAAACAGTGTGCACAGTTGCTCCCTGTGGGGTCACAGAGCTAATTGCTCCCCAGAATGGAAAACAGAAATTGAATCTTCCAGTACAAATTCCAGCAAATGCTACATTTGTAAAGGATGCAACAAAGGTGCATTATTTCAGTTTAACACTCTGAGTGTCATTATGTACTAGGCCTCCTGCCAT